TCGACCCATAACCCGACTCGCAGCCCCCACCGCACCACTGATAGCAAGGAGCTGTAGGGCACGCTGAGCTAGGGAGAATGAGATTATACCTCCATCACTAAGGCTACTAGCAGGCACGCTAGCATAGGGAACCACCCCCACTGGCCGTCACGTGGCCAAGTGATGATGACGACAGCGGGGCAATAAAGAGACTCGCTGTGAAGGCGACTGATGAATACAACAGGTAGCATCCCATGAAGAGTAGAGTTAGCCCTGGTAGGGCGGCGGAGCGACGCAGATATGATAAAGGAGGAGGAGGGCGCATAGAAATACAAAGGGAAGACCTGTACACGTCTACCTCGACTCTTACCACAACACACTCAAGTACGAAACAATTATACATGCTCCACCGTTAGTGAGTTACATAGGCCATTACATCGCACTGTGGCACCGAACTCCATCCTGAGGAGGGGCAGAGCCTGGCCTGCACACATAGAGCACCACACGTGCGTCAACACTACCTATCCGTGTTGAGTATCACGACTGTACAAGGAAGGGCATGGCCTCGGTTTGTCGCTCTGTCTTGCGCAAAACGTCGACGGTGGCGTTGATAGACAGATCACTTCAACGTAGACCCCAGCCACCTTCTCATCCTCACCCCGCGGTCGATAAAAGCTCGCCAGCAACAACGGGCTATTTTCATCACATATCCCTCATACCTCCAAACCGATAGAGATCGATAGTAAATACCACACACCTGGACCCAGAAGGCATACCAAGACCCTCGAGCCTTTGTGGTAGAAACGAGGACGACAGTATGTGCCGCATTACATCAGCTGTTACCAGCATTCCCCTTTCTACTAATACCTTTCCCGACCCTCTTATTTGAAAGCCCGAGCCCTCCATAATAGCATTCATATCAAAAGAAAGCTGAGCAATGACAAGTCAGTCCAACCCTTCCTCCTCCTCTATTGAGCTCAACAGTAGGGTAAAAGCAATGATAAAACTGATCGGTGCTAATCATCATCATTTTCAACATCTAATTCAACTAGTGACATATTACACGAGTCAGCATCCGTCTCCACCACAGCAACATCCTCAATCCTTGACGGTGCATCTTCGAATTGGCGGAAAAGTGCAGGCGTCGCTCCGCCGCATTTCGGTAAATCATACATAGCCTCCTTTATTTTGTTGGTTTCCTCAGTGATAGAGGTAAGGAAATCACCAATAGAAGATACTATAGGCATGTTGGCTACGAAATAGGTCTTGGCGGGGACCTTGTACCTGAACACCATCAACGGTGGGAGCAGATTGTCTAGTACTAAGGAGCGTCACCAGGCAATAGCCCTCTTCCTCTCTTGGAGATACACGAACAGAGCGAGCCTCGCCATGCGGCTGTCGAGGAGGGAGTCTACCACGGCTTCCAGATGCTCCCAAAGATCGGGACCTGGCAGCAACTCAGATAAGTTGGCAAAGGAGTGGTATCGAAATCATCTCCCCTCGAGATTGCTGATACTCTTGGTCCCTCGGCACCTGCTAGAGCCTGGGACATATCCAAGAACTCAATACCCCCCTCCAGAAAGGCATCCTTCTCCGACTTGGATCGTCTCTTTTTCTCAACATCCCTGGTGGCCAGGGATTCCTCTGCGGCCTGTATCGAGCTAGTCTACCGTTATCATGCATTCTTGTCATTACCTGATTCCTGGCGAGATTCTCCTCCGCGAGCTCCTTGGCTGCAGTCAGAGCTTTCGTCGCATTGTAGAGCACATAGTCATTCTTCCGCATGGCCTCAGCCGCCTCAACTATATCGAACCTGTA